AACATGATAGGTGGGACCAAGAAAACAGTATGGTGATGTCTTGGCTCCTCGCAGCCATGGAACCTGATGTGAAAAAGAACTTTATGTGGGCAGACACCGCAAGTGAGATCTGGGAACAGACCAGAACTACCTATTCTAAGCAAAGGCATTACGCCAAGGTTTACCAGTTACAAGCTGAATCCTCAACATGTAAACAGGGAAACCTTAGCTTGTCTTCATACTATTAAGCCCTTACCTCCATATGGAAGGAATTGGACCATTATCAGGCCATAGAGTGGAAGCACGATGATGATGCTAAGGCCTACAGGAAGCTGGTCTCTCAGCAACGGGTGTTTGCTTTCTTGTTGGGACTGAACCCTGCATATGAACCATTGAGGGTGCAGATCCTAGGAAGCAAAGAGTTGCCTACGGCTCACGAGGTATACTCCCTTGTTCAATCTGAAGAAAGCAGGCGGAATGTGATGGTTACAGCTGAGAGGGAACAACAAGTTGCTTTGGCTGCAATGAATAATAACTCCACGGGAAAGAAAAGTGACCCTAAGAAGGTGGATGATAAAGATAAGTTGTTCTGTACCCACTGTTGGCGTTCACGACATACACGTGACACTTGTTGGGACATCAACGGGAAACCCAAGTGGGCAGTGAAGAATCAAGAACAGGGTAAAGGTCAAGGTCAAAAGAAGATGAACACAACACAGAATACAGCACATGTGACAACCCAAGATACTCAGGTTGCCGGTAGTACCCGGGACCACCTTAATAATTCTGATCCCAAGGAAGATATAAAGAATTCCTTCAGAGAACACCTGGAATCTTATGGTAGGGCTTTGCGACAAATGGACAGCTTAGTCATTGGTACTCCCTCTACTTCATTTGCATCTACTTCAGGTAATACGGCTTCTACATTCCATATCACTCCCACGAATTCCCCTTGGATCATTGACTCAGGGGCCTCCAACCACATGACCAGTAAGTCGAACTTGTTTCAGACTTATAGCCTTTTGTCAGGAAGGGATAGAGTGAGACTTGCAAATGGCTCTTTTTCCTCCATTGCAGGCCAAGGATCAATATCTCTTCCCCATGGCCTTAACCTGAATTGTGTATTGCATGTCCCTCAACTTCCTATAAATTTGCTTTCAATTAGTAGTATTACAAGCTCTTTAAACTGTAGTGTAACCTTTTTTTGCTGACTCGTGTGTTTTTTAGGACCTAACTTATGGGAGGACGATTGGTAGAGGGAGCCTACTAGACGGTCTCTACATTCTCGACAACAAAGCTGGTCACTCGATGTCATCCTCAGAGTCGCATAGTCAGTCAAATAAGAGTCAATTTTTTTTGTGGCATAGTCGTTTAGTTTCTTTTGAAAAAATAAAGTCTTTGTTTCCGGTTTTATTTAAGTCGTGTTTAGTGTCAGAGTTCCAGTGTCAAACGTGTCAGTTGAGCAAACAATGTAGAACAACTTTTCACTCAAGTAATAAAAGATCAAATGTTCCTTTTCATGTTGTGTATTCTGATGTATGCGGGCCTACTAATGTAATCTCTGAGGGCAGATATAAGTACTTTGTCACATTGATCGACGATTACTCTCGCTATACATGGGTAATTCCTATGCGTAGTAGAGACGAAGTTCCAAAGATTGTGAAAGACTTCCAGAGGATGGTATTTATGCAGTTCCATGTTGAAATATAGATCTTCCAATCCGACAATGCAAAAGAATACTTCCATGGGGAGCTCAATGAGTTCTTTGTCTCCCACGGATCTATTCATAGGAGCTCATGCGCCAGAACACCACAACAAAATGGTGTTGYAGAGAGAAAAAACAGACACCTCCTTGAGGTGGCTCGCGGGATGATGCTACACATGAATGTTCTAAAAAGGTTTTGGGTGGATGTTGTACTTGCAGCTGCTTATGTCATCAATCGCATGCCCTCCAAAGTGCTGAACTTCATGGCCCCTCATCAGTTATTGTACCCTCAGTCTCCTTTATTTTCCATTCCCATGAGAGTCTTTAGTTGTCGTGCCTTTGTCCATGATTTGTCTCCATCTCGAGGTAAGTTAGACCCTCGGTCCATTCCTTGTATCTTTCTGGGGTATCCCTCCTCTCAAAAAGGGTATTGGTGCTTTGATCCCGTTAGTCGTAAGTTTTTT